CCTCACCGCGCACCGCTCCGCCCTGGCGTGCGGGGCGGTGCGCGGTCGCCCGAGGGAGCGGCGCCCCTCGGGTGGTTTGCTGGGGCGGCGCGGCCTGCTGCGCGTCGCAATCTGAGCGGGCGGCTCGAAGGAACGACGTAGGTTCCCAGTGTGAGCGCTCCCATGTCCGTCTCCAGGCCAGGGTCCCAGGTGCTCTGCCTTGCACGTGATGCTTACAGTCGTCGGCGTTCGTGTGCTGACTCGCCTACCCTTGCCTGTGTCTCGCCTTTCTGCTGGGCGGTGCTGACTCCACGTCGGCTCAACGGTCTTCAGCCCACTGTGCACTCACCGCTGCTGTTTTTTCTCGCAGCGCAATCCTTGGCCTGTTGGGGTGCCTCAGCGTCCCGCTGGCGCCACTCCGCTGCTCGCTGGTCATGGGCCTACAGTTAGGTCGGGCGTGTCCCCCCTGCAGTCAACAAATACGCAAGAACCATCGGCCCATATTATTTGTTTGACTCTTTTTGAATATTCCTCCTGCAGAGGGACGTGCCCGACTTACGCCTACAGCTGCTTTTTACTATAACTTGTGCTGCGCGCGCCCGCTGTGCTCGCCCTGGGCCCTGGCCCCAGCGGTGTCCTCAAGGCTGGGCGACGCGCCAGTGCGTCCGCTTCCTGTTTTTGCAGCTCGCGGGTGCTGCTTCTGGAGCTTCCGCTGGTGGGTGCAGCTCGTGGGTGCAGCGTCTGGAGGTTTCGCTCTTTTTTTGCAGCTCGTTGGTGCAGCTCGTGGGTGGTGCTTCTGGAGCTTTCGCCTCCCCTGTCTTTCCGGTCGACCTCACATGTGGTGAGTACGTGGAGGCCTCCGTGCGTGCTTTGGCGTGGTTGAGTCCAGCAAGCCATGCTCCCCTTACTCGTGCTCCTGCTGCTGCGCCTCCTCCTGTGCCCGCATTGCCTATTATCCTGCTCATTCGCCACCTCCTCCGCCTCCTCCTCCGCCTCCTCCTCCTCCTCCTCCTCCTCCTCATCCTCCTCTTCCTCCGCCTCCTCCTTCTCCTCCTCCTGTGTAACACCGCCCCCGCTTTTTCTGATTGCGCGTCACACGATGGGGTCATAGTCGGTGTCACGGTCTTCTAGGACACCCCAGCCGGCGGACAGAAAAAGGATCCAGCGACATGGGACGGTGTGGGCGGGAGTGGCAGGATGTCTAATGTGGCGCGGGTGCACCTCGCTTGCCCCCTCCCCCCCTCCCAATCCCTTCTCCCTTTTTGTTCCCCTTCCCATCCTCGCCCGTTCCCCTTTCCTTCCATCTCCCGTCCCGTCCCCCCTCCTCTCCCCTCGCCCCCTCTCCCATCCTTCTGAAACCCTGGGAGCAGAAGGCCCTCCTGCCCGAGAGGCCCCGCCCGCCCCCGCCCGCCTCGGCCCCTTTCCCGCCCGCTGGGTCTACCCGCTCACCCGCCCGCCGGGGCCCGCCCGCTCCCGCGTGCCTTCGTGGAGGGCAGCGCAGGCCCCCAGCCGGGACCCCACTCCCCGACCTGGTGATCCTGGGAGCCGTGGCTGGCCGGGGCCCTCTGGATCACCAGGTCGGGAAACGGGGGTCCTGGCTGAAGGCGGGGGTGGGCTGTGCTGTCCTCATTGATGACTACCCGCCCTGCCCAGACTCTGGCGAAGCGAGTCCCAGCGAAGCGAGCCGTTGGCGAAGCGGGCTCCGGCGAAGCGGTCTCCCGCGAAGCGAGGCTCCGGCGGATTGGATTTGCTGTTAGAGTATTGCGCAAGGAGGAGGAACACGAGGCGTCATGTAGAGTGCCCCCCGTGGCCGACCGTGTCCATTAATACGAATTCTGTTCTCGACCCAAACACGAACCAGGAACAAGTTTTGAGCCACCTGGGGGTGCTCTCATTCACTGACCCGTAGTTGCCCATGACTGATCTCGTCAAACTAATCGCATATTAATGGCTCGCTACTTATCCGCATGTTGGCTCGCAATGTCCTCCGTTTAGGATCAGGAATTCGCGTTTGGGATCTCCCTGAGATGGTCATCCGCTGTCGCACGGAGCCGCTCGGGTCTTCACTCAGCCAAGACCAAGCTCTACGTGACGGAGGACCCTACATGACGAATGGCGAGGGGCGGAGGAGAGTGAGCGAGAGAGAGAGGAGCCTCTCCTCCTCTTCCTCGTCGGGCATCCCAGACACTGTGAACACGTCCAGCACTTCGTACTTGTACAGTGGGGAAGTGCAAAATCTACGCTCAAGAGAGGTGCAGCCTCCGTTCTAGAGTTTGGCAGTCTCTGGGCTGGTCCTCCTGCGCGTTGAGTGCCTCGGGGCGCCGAGTTCCCCGGGGCGCCGCCCGAGCCGAGCGCCTCCGCTTCACACCGTTGGCGCGCTCAGGGAAGTGGCGCCTCGGGCCTCGCATCGCTCGGACGTGTGCATTTTTTCCTCGGCGAGGACCCTGGAGGAGCATCCTGGATCATCGAGCAAACAAACACATGCGCGAAACCGAAAAATGCACAGGGAATGGACGTCCGA